ATATCTATATCTTCATATCACTACTACACAAAATCTTTTGCGTAGTGTTTCTAAAATAGCCTTCTAGGTGGGCTGCACTGTTTGCCCTTCGATTATCGGCGCAGGGCAGCCGGGTCAAGAACCGCCTCTCGGTTAATACTTAATCGAGGCGGGCGTTGTAACATAACCGCCTCGGTTGATAAGCATTAACCGAGGCGGTCTTCTTAAAGCAAGCGCCTCGATTACTCGATTAATCGAGGAGGTCCCTAGAAACAATCTGTCTCGGTTAATCGATATTAACCAAGGCGGGCATTTTACACTATCCGCCTCCGTTAATCCATTTATTGAGGCGGGCACTCTTAAAGGCCCGCCTCAGTAAATCAGGCCCAGGCGCTCAGCCCACACCCACCCACTACCACCTCCAGCATATAAAAGAAAACACAAACCCTAAAACACTCAACTCTCTCCCTCACCCCACAACCACCGGAAAAGAGCGCTCGGCCTCCTCTCCCTCCCTCACGGTCTCCCCATCCCACCCCCCTCCCACTCCCCCACGGCGCCCCTCCCACTCCCTCTCCCTCAGCTGGCTCCTCCCTCCCTCTCTCCTCTCCATCTCCCTCCCTCTCTTCGGTGGCAGGGCGGGCGGTGGCGCGTGCGGCCAGCGGCGTGGCAGCCTGCAGACCCACGCTGGGCGTGGGGCTGGGCGATCACGAGGCTCGTGGTGGCACCGGCTAGGCAGCACATGGAGGCGACAAGGCGGCGCCCTCTGTCTCTAGATCTGGACCCGACGATGGCGCGGGGCTCAACGTCGACTGTGGCACGGGGCTTGACGGCGCGCGATAGGTTAGCTCTCCCCATCTCCCTCTCTCTTCCCCTCTTCGTCTCCTCACTCTTCCCTCTCTCTTTTTAGATCTCTGACCGACAGCAGTACCCTTCCCTCTCCCTCTTCTCCTATAGGCGAGCAGCGGGCGGATCTGGAGCAGGGGGTTAGCGGATCCGGCGAGGAGAGGAGGAGGTTGGCAGATCCAGAGTAGGGGGGCAGGGGCCGGCGGATCCAGAGCAGGGGGGCAGGGGCCAGTGTATCCGGCAAGGAGGCGAGGAGGAGGCCGGCGTGGAGGCGGCGACGGCATCCTGCTTCACCGGATCTAGCAAGTGGGTTCAGGAACGAGCTCGCCGGTGGGCTTGGGTTTTTTTTTATTTTTTTTATCGATTTACAGAGGCGGGTGTTGTAAGCAGCCCACCTTGGTTAATCGATTAACCGAGACGGGCAAGGCAACCGCCTCCGTTATTCATGGATTAATCGTGACCTTGTGATGGAGGCGGTTGCCTTTGTGCGCCTCGGATAATGAAAAACACCCGCCTCGGTTAAGTTTATTGTAGTAGTCTATCTTATAATCCTAAACCTAAATCTTATACTCTTATAAAGCAAAATCCCACTACTTATTTCTCTCAACATGCAAGTTGTCCAACTAGACAATGCACTATCACACACACTTAAAATTCACTAGCCCATGCAATTGTAATATCCACGTCAGCAAGTCACCTATCTCTTTCATCATGCAAGCTATCCAACTAGGCAATGCACTATCACACACAATTAAAATTCACTAGCCATGTAATTGTAATATCCATGTCAGCAAGACACACAAGTATTTTATTGTCCATGTCAACGTGTCACGCAATCCACTAATCTGCAATTCCCAAGAGCAACGCGTGGGGTATTCTTCTAGTGTCTTATAATTCTAAACCCCACTAGCATTCTATCTCCACTTGCAAGCGGAGCAGTCCACTATCACATACAATTACACCCCACTAGCACATACAATTATAATATACACGCCAACCGCATACACATCATCCACTAACATCTATTTAGTTGTCTAAATCAGCATGCCACAACATCCACCAAAATTAATTTATAAATGCTAAAATTACCACCAGTAGAAGTTGGTAATTTGGATATATTTGAGAGGTTGCTTGGATGTCTATCGTAATGGCAGGGTAGCAGTTTTGATGCAAATTTATGGGGTCATTTAGATTATGCTTCATAATACCATAGACAAATTTAGAGTTTAGTTTCACCATATTTGGCAGGGCTCCATGTCTAAGAAATCCTTGGAGGTTGGTTATAAAAGGGACATTTGGTACGAAACAACAAATTTTGTATTTGAAGCAATGCACATTCTGCATGTCAATGTGTGTAGGTAATGATCTATAAGCACTAAAGGTGTTAGAGTGTGAAGTGGATCCCACCTAGCTCGCTGTACCCACAAGCCGACATCACAATAGGCCCACAAAAAACTAAGTCCATGGGCCTAACTCAACTTAGAAAACTAGTCTAGTAGGTGAGGATTGTCTCATCTTATATGTTATATGCTTCCACACCATCAATTTTCAATTTGGAATCGAACCTAACTCGTTCATCCACACACCACTGTGATATCTGAAAGATGTTATGCCAGGTCTTGAGTCCAACAATCCATATCGCACGACCCATGTGACCCTCCGAGATGTTCACACTCTCTTGTTGTTATGATGTGACTCTGAGACTTATTAGAGTGCGCAGCAGATCCGATCTAGCTTGTTATACCCATGATCCAACACCACATCAGGCATAAGTCTACTATATCCCACAACCAACCAAGACTAGGCCTAACTCAACCCAAAAGACTAGCCTGATAGTTGAGAGTTGCACTACCTTATACATTATGCTCCCATCATCAATTTTCGATATCAGACTAAACCTAATAATCTCCCCCATCACACATCAAACACAACTCTTCACATCATGCACAACCCATTTGATCTCTAGAAGAAGTTATACAAGGCCTCGAGTCCAACTCTCCATGTCAGACAAAACTCGTGCGACCGTTCGAAGACACTCACGAGCTCCCCTACCACAATATGACCCCAAGCTGTTCTAGGTTCTTTGACCATGGGCTTTACACTTATTACTGTGCAAAATGGATCCGGCTCAGTTTGTTATAACCATAAGCATGCTCCACTTATTAGATGATAACATACATGATGAATAACTTTTGTCACGGTAGAAACGCTATTTGTCATAAAGAACCTTTTTGTAATGAAATTATATGTTGTGCTAGTTCTCTTCACCATCAGTTTTTGATGTGGGACTAAGTCTAACATAAGTTATTTATTTCTGATCTAACAATAGACAATATAAAATATATATAGTTTCTGCTGCCTCATCATTTTATAAAGAATCTATCTTTGTGCATTTTTGTGTGGCACAAGGAGAAGATATCAAAGTGATGCTTGCTTGTAATGTGAGTATTTCTTTAAAAAGTGCAAAGCATGAAGGACCACACAGTTCTTTAAGGTTCCCAGCCCACATGCTTTGCCTATAAGGATGAATAATAGCATTTATCATTTCCAGGCTGTGGACACTTTAAGAATACTTCCAGGCTATCAACGTTAGCTAAAGCACAAGATCTCATGGACCTGCAGCTTCCTCCTTTCACACAGAATTAATGCCTCTGTGTTTTGTCTGTGTGATGAAAGCAAAAGCAGGCAATGCTTGCGGCTAAGTCTAGGAATTTTTCAAGGTGTGCACAACCGAACGGACCAGCAATGCCCATGAACCGATGGCATATAGAGTCTGACGCATAGAACATTTTCCTTTTAATGGTGTCCAAGTCACCGGGTAATGGGTTAAGCACTCAAGGTACCTCTCCACATGCTTCACACACGATGGAGTACCACGGAATCTCCGGCCTCTTTTTTTCCACACACAACAATATGATGACAAGTCTTTTGTTATTCTCAGTCACACTATTTTAAATTGACTAACTTTAAATAGAATAATACTATTTATGATACTACCGGGCCGTTGCTGCAGAAATTTCTAAAAAATAAAATCGTTGCACGTATGAATTAGTTCTACATGTTCCTGTATTGATTATTATTAAAATTGGACATGACAATGAAATAATTCAATAAAAAACAAAAATAATTAGATCGAATTATAAGATGATGGAATGGCAAAACAAATAACAATAAAAACATGCCTTGTATATTATAAATTGTAACTGCAATTAGTGAAGGTGGTGTGGATGGCTTGCATTAATAGATTAAAAGTTAGTGGGCTGATGTGGTATTAGTGGGAGACAATGTGCATAGTTTAGTGAGAAATGATGTGGATGACTTGCATGTTAACATAGAACTTATAGTGGGGTTTTAAAATATAAGATACTAGAAGCATACGCTACGCATTGCTGTGGGAATACGTTGGACTGCATATAAAATTACTTATTGGTGTTATGATGGAACTTGTCAACATGGATTCATGACCTCTATTTAACAGGGTACATTTATTAGAGTTGCAAACAAAAATAGAAGATCCATTTTACTAGGAATCATTTCCCAAAAAGTGATATCATTTATGATCACCTTTTACCATTAACCAATTTAAAATTTTGATTTTCAAAGTTATCTATGTACCATATTGATGTTGACACTGAATACTTCATTTGAAAAATGTTGTGAGTTTCCGTCCGAACAGGTATCATTTTTGTATAGAACATATCTTCACCGACCATTTCCAGCCCTACGCATTGTCCTAGATTAATTTTAGAATTTAATTGCGCTATTCTTAAAGTGGTAAGAGACATGTGCCCTGTCATCAACAGTAAAGCGTTTATGGTGTCTTCGTTAATCTTAAGATTTGTGGACTCAAATTTTCGGAGGTGCTCATAGGGATGTTCATAGGGCTAATTGTCCTTAGGGGTGTAGTAAGAAATTAGGAGGACCCATAGAAGTCTAGTCTTTTTTTTTTCTCCACTTGTCATGGTTTGCTGTGGGTCCAGATTGATTGAGGTATAGTAAGCTAAAAGCCGAGTCTTAGTTATAGATTCTCTTCCCATCGTCTCTATAAATATAAACCGACACAACAGGAGCGCCAAGCCACTGCGAACTACCTAGCTTAGTTCGATCTCATCAATCAAGAGCTTCCTTGGTAATCCTAGTCTCCATCCTAGCCAACCCAAGCTAGCCCATAAGCCATGGCGACGAAGGAATTGTGGGCCGGGATTGGATCAGCCCTGGCGTTTTTATTTACCCTCATCACCATGGCAATGAACCAATCCCGGATCAAAGTGTTGATCAACAAGATCAGCGCATACCTCAACCCATACAAACAAATCACCATCCCAGAGTACGGCGCCGAGCGTTTCCAACGCAGCGACTTGTTCGTCGTGGTCGAGGCCTACCTCTCGGACTTGTGCCGTGAACTTGGGGCGCGCAAGCTCAAGGCCGAGCTGGAGAGCCACATGCAAAGCCCCAGGTGTCGGTTGACGACAACCAGGAGATCATTGAAACCTTCCGTGGTGCCAGGCTCTGGTGGTACGCCGACACAGAGTCCCCGAAGTCCAACATCATCTGCTCGCGGCCTGGTGACGAGAAGCGCCGCTTCTACCGGGTTGCCTTCCATAAAAGGTTCCACGACCTCATCCTGGACAGCTACCTGCCCCATCTCATCGACCAGGGACGTGACGCCATCGCCCGGAACCGCCAGCGCCGCCTCTTCACCAACAACCCAAGCAGCAGCTGGAGCTCCTACGGCGGCGGACACAAGACGATCTGGAGCCACGTGGAGTTCCGGCACCCGGCGAAGTTTGACATGCTCGCTATGGAGCCTGCCAAAAAGGAGGAGATCAAGGATGATCTCAACGCCTTCAAGGTTGGAAAGAGCTACTACGACAAGGTCGGCAAGGCATGGAAGCGTGGATACCTGCTGTTTGGGCCGCCAGGCACCGGAAGTCCATGATGATCGCCGCCATGGCCAACCACCTGAACTACGATATCTACGACTTGGAGCTCACGGCGGTGAAGAACAACACGGAGCTGCGGAAGCTCCTCATCGAGACCAAGGAAAATCCATCATCGTCATCGAGGACATTGACTGCTCGGTCGACCTCATCAACAAGCGCAGGGACATGAAGGCCGACAAGAAGTCCGACGACCAGAGCGACGTGAAGACCATGCTACAGAAGAAGGAGGATGAGAAGGACGACGAAGACAGCAAGCTGACCCTTTCTGGGGTGCTCAACTTCATCGACGGGCTATGGTCGGCGTGCTGCCAAGAAGAGCGCATCTTCGTCTTCACCACCAACTACAAGGACAAGCTGGACCCAGCGCTGATCCGGCGAGGCAGGATGGACATGCACATCGAGATGTCCTACTGTCGCTACGAGGCGTTCAAGGTGCTGGCCCATAACTACCTGGACATCGACGAGCGCCAGTTTTTCGAGCTCTTCGGTGAGATACACCGGCTGCTGGAACAGGTTGACATGTCTCCTGCGGACGTTGCCGAGCACCTGATAAGGACGGAGAAGAAGGATGCCGGCGCATGCTTGGAGAGTCTCGTCAGAGATCTGAAAAAGTTAAATGCCCAGAAGAACCCGGCAGCCGATTGTCCTCCACAGGATCCAGTTCTGACGGTGACGCCGGATTTAAACCCGACAGTGATCAATATATTTGAGGAAGCAAGGGACAGTACATTGGAGTCATAAACTGCCCCCGTTTGTTTTATTATTGTTGTTTTCAGAGGGAGTAATAAGTAGCTAAGCTATGCTAGCTTAGTTTGCGTGAGACGTTGTGCTTTCAACTACTGCTATCTTTAGTCATGTCAGTTGATTTTTTTTAAGATCCGGTTATCCAGCTTTGTATTAATATAAGAAGGTTTCAGAGTTTGCAGCTTACAAGCGCGAGGAGCCCTAGTTCCAGATGTGCCATAGTGTGAGAATGGCTAGTGAATGCGCTGTTTTTGTGCCTTTTTGTGTCAAAGCTATAAACAAATCTTCTGTTTGATTGTGATCGGACCATCCCGATGGTTGTAAGTTTTGGCAGTTGCTCCAAACAGCTACCACCTCCCAAACAGCTCGCGTGAATGGGCACTCGAGGAATAGGTGAAGAGAGGTTTCGGGCTTCTCTCACACAGGGCGCAGAAATAGTTGTTCTTCCACCCGAGTAGCTGTAGTCTTGCCGCAGTCCATAGTCTGACCTGTAATAGGATCCACGAGAAAAACTTACATCATGGCGCGGCGCCCATGTCTTCAAGATCTGTGTGGGAAAGTTGGAAGCAATTTGTCCCGAGAATTGGATGTTATAAGCTGAGTTTGCAGAGTACTCCCCAGAGCTTTCAAGGGACCAAATGATTTGATCTGCTTGGTCTGTTTGACTGAGGTTCAGCTGTAGCGACTCTATACTTTGCCACAGACCAAAGAATTCTCGCGGTAGGATTGCATTCAGATTGTACGCAATGTCGCTAATCCATTTTCCTTGTAGCATAGCATCCCTGACCGTTATGTTTTTTCTCCTGCTGTGGTTGACACAAGAGTGGGTATATAGTTGATGGCACTCATCCATCGATCCAGCTAGAGAACCGGAAGAATGCTCTTTTACCATTATGAATCGTCACTCTTGTGACAGCTGCAAAGAGGGTGATGTCCGTCACGTCAACCGGCAGCGACATACCAGCCCATGGCCGCTCCAGATTTTTCCAGGACATCCATAGCCAGCGCAGAAGGAGCACTCTGCTGAACCTTTCCAATGCCAGGATACCAAGTCCACCAAACTGCACAGGTCTACACTAGTAGAGAACAGGCCTTTGATCCTCGGCCAAAATGGGCTCTAGTCCCGGAATTTTTTGCGCCCGGGATTAGAAATACCTTTAGTCCCGGTTGGTGTCTCCAACCGGGACTAAAGGTCCCTACCCCAACGGCTACTGCGCCCGAGCAGAGGTGGCAGGGGACCTTTAGTCCCGGTTGGAGCCACCAACCGACTAAATATACTTTTACTCCCGGTTGGGGGCTCCAACCGGGAGTAAAGGTCTACTCGGGCGTGGCTGCGCCCGGGTTGGAAAGTTACTTTTAGTCCCGGTTGGAGCCACCAGCCGGGACTAAAGGTCCCCCCTTTATATCCCGGCCGTCTCCTTCTTCCTCCCCGAGCCCGAGCTCAGCATATTTTGAAGCTCACTGCACTAGTGTTCTTGCTTCCTCCCTCCCTCCATTGTTCCTCCATCCATTATTCGATTCCTCCATCGATTTCTTCGATTCCTCCGTCGATTCTTCAGTTGTAAAGGTTACCAATCTCATACTCTCATTTTTCACTATTGTCTTATCTCATTTTGTTCACTATATATATATATGGTTCTTTATTTTGGTTTTTTTTTCATTTGTAAGCAATTTGAGCTCAAAATCACTTCAAGCTTGCATATTTACATGAAATAAGGTTAAAGTAGCTAGTTGAACTTGCGGACCGTGTTCATCTCGGCGAGCACGTTCTCTGCCGAGCGGTAACGGACGTCAAGGAGAAGCTTTGATTCTATGAGGGAGAGCGGCAACGGTCGTGGAAGACCGTGTTCCCTTCCTCGTAGAATTGGAGCTCTTCCGTGGTCAAGCACGGTGCCGTCCGTGGAGAAATGCTCGCCGAGATGATGATCCGTAGTAAGCAAGGTCAACTAGTACGGATGGTTATTTATTCACATGTCCTGATATCGTCGCAGATGATCCGTCAATCACCGTACCCAAACGTAGTATATATATAAATATAAACTTAGAAAATAGTTAGAAAATTATAGAAAATCCATACTAGTTGAACTTGCGGACCGTGTTCATCTCGGCGAAACACGTTCTCTGCCGAAAGCGATAACGGACGTCAAGGAGGATCTTTGATTCTCTGAGGGAGAGCGGCAACGGTCGTGGAAGACCGTGCTCCTGTTTGTGCTCATCCCACACGCGTACACCGGTCTGCATTCCACAAAAGTAGAAGTTCTTCAACTAGTGGCCTTAGGTACACATCGATGTCGTTGCCAGGTTGCCTTGGGCCTTGGATGAGCACTGGCATCATAATAAACTTACACTTCATGCATAACCAGGAAGGAAGGTTGTAGATATATAGAGTAACAGGCCAAGTGCTATGACTACTGCTCTGCTCCCCGAAAGGATTCATACCATCCGTACTTAAAGCAAACCTTAAGTTTCTTGCGTCATTTGCAAACTCTAGGAATTCTCTATCGATTGCTCTCCACTGGGACCCATCAGCAGGGTGTCTCAACATATTGTCTACCTTACGATCTTCTTTGTGCCATCGCAATAACTTTGCATGGTCTTTGTTTCTGAACAGACGTTTCAAGTGTGGTATTATAGGAGCATACCCCATAATCTTGGCAGGGATTTTCTTCGTGGGACGTTCGCCCTCAACATCACCAGGGTCATCTCGCCTGATCTTATACCGCGATGCATGACATACCGGGCATGCATCTAACTTCTCGTACTCCTCGCCACGGTAGAGGATGCAGTCATTAGGACATGCATGTATCTTCTAGATTTCTAATCCCAAAGGGCAGACTACATGTTTTGCTTCGTACGTAGTGACGGGCAATTCGTTATCCTTCGGAAGCATCTTCATTTGGATTTTCAGTAACTCCCCAAATCCCTTGTCAGATACACCATTCTTTGCCTTCCATTGCAGCAATTCCAGTGTGGTACCCAACTTTTTCTGTCCCGCATCACAAGTTGGGTATAGCAATTTCTTGTGATCCTCTAGCATGCGCTCGAACTTGATCTTCTCCTTTTCACTTTTGCATTCTCTTTGTGCGCCATGAATGGCCTGACCAAGATCATCAGCGGGCTCATCTTCTGCCACTACCTCTTCTTCAGCTTCCCTCCATTGCAGTATCATTGAAGGCACCATATTCAGCAATAATGTCATCATCGTCCCATTGTTCTTCTTCACCTTCTTCCATTACAACCCCGGTTTCTCCGTGCTTCGTTCAACAAATATAGTTTGGCATGAAACCCGACTTCAACAAGTGTGAATGAAGACTCCTTGAGCTAGCATATTCCTTCAAATTCTTACATATGGCACATGGGCAGCACATGAAACCATCGCGTTTGTTTGCCTCGGCCACACGTAAGAAAGAATGCACGCCCTCAATGAACTCTTGGGAGCGGCGATCAGCATTGTACATCCAATGCCGGCTCATCTGCATTACATGGCATACATACCATATTAAAACCTAGAACATAATTAGTTAATTATACGACATGCATGCCACCACACAAGGTATTAATTTATGAAAGTCTCGCTACAATGTAGACAATCCCAACTACCACTAAAAAAACTAAAGCTAAAATGCACTTCAGCAGCATAAGGATTTCGCGACCAATCCCAACTGAAACAGATAGATCATGCGTTTGTTCAATATCTATGGGCTTCTTCCGCAGGATCGCTGTCTCATCAGCCGCCGTAGCCGCCTGTGCAAGAGAGTTTTGCACGTGTTCAACATACTCTTCCTCCCAGTACCAGCCTAAACATCCAGTGCCATCCCACTGATATTAAAACAAAAAATTAGAACTTTAATCACAATCATCATGAAAATAAGTATAAATTAACCATAATCATCAAATGCGACAAAATAACTCACATTGCGATCCGGACACGTGTAGAAGATATGGTCCTTGTTGGGACACTCCTTCCTCACCCGGTACTCCATCACAATCTTCTCCTCACACTTGCCGCATACAATGAGAGGGAGGTCCGGCCTCAGTCGCTTTGGAACCCGATGAGAGGCCGAGGACCTGGAAGCAGTTGACATCTACTCTCTATACTCATTTTTAATATAATATAAATTTCTCATTTTATAAACAAATAAAATTAAAAAAAAACTCTAAAATTCTCTATATCTCTAAACCATGAAGTGTGCTATGCATGCTAGAAATGAAAATTTGGATACTAGTTTTGAATAACTACTTTAACCTTCCTTCATCCAAATATGCAAACTTTAAAGTAATTTTGAGCTTAAATGGCTTACAAATAAAAAAATCCACCATAAAAAACCACATATATCTAGTCCACAAAATGAGATATGCTACTGATGAAACATGAGAGTATAAAGTTGGTAACCTTTAGAACCAAAGAATCGATGGAGGAATCGAAGAAATCTTGTGATTACCGGCAATGAGGAAGAAGAGAGGCCAGCGATGAAGCAAGAACACTGAGCTCGAAGTGGCTCGGGCTCGGGGAGGAAGAAGGATATATAGGAGGGACCTTTAGTCCCGGTTGAAGACAGAAAAACCGGGACTAAAGGTCCCTTTCTAATCTCGGACGGAGCCTCCAGTAGGGGTAGACTTTTACTCCCGGTTGGAGGGACCAACTGAAGTAAAAGTTAACCTTTAGTCCCAGCTTGGTAGCTCCAATCGGGATTAAAGGTCCCTACAGCAAAAAGCTCCCCGCAAGATGGCCGTTAGGCGGGGACCTTTAGTCCCGGTTGGAGTTACAAACCGGGACTAAAGGTCTCTCTAGTCCCAGTAGCGCGAAAATCTGGGACTAAAGCCAAATTTCGAGCCGGATCAAAGGTCGTTTTCTACTAGTGATCTTGTGTTCCTTTTATCCCAAAATATACATCGATCAACTGCCAAAACATCAACATATTGTATTCCTTTTATCCCAAAATAAAAACAACTTTTTGAGTTGTTCTAAATCAAAGTTTTAAAATTTGATTAAATTT